TAGTTTTAATAAAAAATATATTGATAAATACGAGCATAATTGACTTTTTCATTTATTAGGAGAAATAAACCAAATTTAGCCTATATTAGGAATAGAGTACATTGACTTGAGTAGATAATAGAAGTAGAGCATTTATGTCTTTTTATCAAATTATGTCATCCTTTATGTTACCATAACAAAGTCCTTCTTGCATAGCTATGACTGACAAATGGAGTAGACTTTTGAGCATGATTTGTATTGTTGTCATTTTCATCAAGGTTGTGGCGGTGCAGGTTAGTTGGACAATGTGGATTTGGGCTTATCTATTTAGTTTCTCTTGGCCCATGTTCCTTCAATTGCCTTAAAAATCATTTGGGCCCATTGTGTTGGCACATGTTCATGTTAAGTGGGCTGCCTATAACACTAATGATTATGTTCTCTAACCCTATCATCTTTTCCTTTTCCTCTATTGCACTTATATTTTTCTCGTATGGCATTTGACTTGATTGTCGGAGTGCGAACGGTCACCGGACCTTTTTCTTGACCGACGGCCTTTGCCTCCTAACGGGGTGTTCAATGTGCGGGTGATGTTCACGTGGAGGAGACATAACGGGGATTCTGTTGAGCTCATTTTTTGAGATCAACACTGTAAACTAAAAATTACATAGACATAAAATGGTTAAATATTTTACATAATGTAGGCCACTATTGTGAAGTTGGCCTTGTTATATATAGATTTACTTACATGATAGAACTACTATGCAGTAAGTTACACTTACATCTATTGCTAATTAAATATGCAATGCAACAGTCTATTGTGTATCTCAAAGCATCCTTCTCTTTTATTTATTTATTTATTTATTTTCTTTTCCTTTCTTACTAATTTGAAGTATTCAATTTTGCTTCAGTGTGGAATTTTCTTATTTTAAGTATCCATTTGTGTTTTGAGTGTGAAATTTTCTCTATAGGCAATGATAACCCATGAATCTACCTTTATATCTAGGATGAAAGTATCCTCATGTGCGGTGATCTTTGATTTCTATCTTGATGTTATATTTATTGATAGTTGATCCTTTTCAAAAATTGTGCAGCCATTTAGAGACAAAAAAAACTCGAGAAAGAAATGACGAAACCCCCTAAACGCCCGAAAAAGTTCTGCTGGGATTAATGTCAATGTCAGGTTCGAATCCTAACCTGTTCTTTTATTTATGTTGTGTGTCTCCATATTCTTGGTTTTGTTCCAGAAATTTATTGGCAGGTAAACATTCTTTCAATTTTCTAAAATTCAATCTCTGTGTCCGATTGTTTATGCATCCGAGGTTATAATTCCTAACTCTGCTTTATACTTGGTCTGTAGCAGGGTGTTGATTTTTTTGACATCTTACATGAGTTCGTTTTGCAAGTTGTAGAACAAATGGTACTGTTTGTACCCAATACGAAGTCTAATTTCAAAAGGCTTTCTCATCACATCTTAAAAGAATTCATATTAGGATCTACTGCACTAAACTTTCATTTGAAATAAACATATTATCTTCCTTGTTTGTCCTTTAAAAAAGGAAGACAATTTCTTGGTTCAAATCACCTTTTCCAACACCCCCACCACTACCATTAATAGCAAAACTAAAAAATTAAAAAAAAAATGAAAATAAAAAAGACAGTACATTTGGGAAATGACAAAAATAAGTTCCTCTAATATTTATGGTTGATATCTTCGACTGCAAATTCTTAGAATAAACATCTAATGAGTTCTATTGGTTAGGTTTTCTGGTCGATTTGTGCCCAAGAAATTAAAAGAAAAGGGATTTACACGATTATATTTTTGGGAGCAATTACCAATTAATTAGCATTTGAGGGGCTAAAGAAAGGGAAATGGAAGTATTAAAGATAATGTAATTGGTATTTTCTCACACACTACAAAATACATACAGAAATAACACTGAATTCTCTCTTCTGCTAATCCTGATTAGTAATATCGCTTCAATATTAGAACCCCAATCCGGAATCATATATGGGGACTGAGCTGATTATAGTAATTCAAGGCAAAAACCTGTTGATGAGATCTTCTCTTTGCCTGTAGCTTGGCTCAGACTCAGCTCCCATGCGAGTGGCAGTGGCGGAGGAGGAGGAAGAGCAGGCCTCTGGCAAGCTACCGCACTTCTGACACCGAGTAACAACCAAAATCTGGCGGCAAGAGGGGCAGGAGGAGTGAGATCCAAGCCACGTGTCAATGCAAGCAACGTGGAAGCCATGGCCGCACTGAGGAAGCACTCGGACTTCGTCCCCAGTGGCGAACTCCGACAAGCAAATTGCGCAGTCGGATAACTTTCCGATCTTGTCGTCGTTGGCAGCGTAGGTCACCTTCGGGAGCGATTTTAGGACCTTCTTCTTCAGGCCCTTGTTGGCTGCAGCCTGAGATGAGGGCGGAACAGCTGCGTTACTACCGGAAATGCGGCGGATCCAAGCGCAGCGGGCGACTGCGACAAGGCCCAGAACGCAGATTAGCGCGCAGAGAAGTGCCGCTAGTATCACTATAAAATCTGAGTCAAGTTGTTGGCTTTCTACTGGAGGTGTCTCCTTCCCTGGCGGTGGCTGTGAAAGCTTAGGCAACATTGGCGGATTTATGCCGCCAAGAAAACGTGACCGGAGAGTCATTTAGAAGAGAGAGAGAGAGAAAAAGAATTGGCTTTTGCGCAGTTGCGCTGTTTGTTTGAGTACAGTTCCGCTAAATTTAAGCTGTGAAATCGAAGTGTTTTTTTTTTTTAAAAGGAATTATGCCAAGTGTACTGAATCTTTAGTTTAGTTTTATACTTGAATTAATATTTAATACTGAATAACTCTTTTAACTGACTGTATCAAATTTTGATACTTACAAATTATAATAAACTTGGGGGTGATTTGACAATTTCTAAAAATACATATTTCAAATGTAATATATTTACTCCTGATGTAATCAAAGAGGAATAATAGCAAAATAAAAACCCGTTTTCATTTGCGATATATTTCTATATATTGAAAATTGCAGAAAACTCCCTTATTTCAAACATTTTTTTATGAAAAACTCACATACTGTCAAGATCCATCAGATTTGCTGTTAAAAACAGTAAAAGAAAGTCAAAATAAAAAAAAAAAAATTGTAATTTCAGTACCCAAACTTCTTATTTTTTTAAATTAAATCCAATTTTTTTGTACGTGATATTTATGATCTCAGATTTTTAAAACCTTATTTTCCACCACACCCCACTTCATCTCTTTTCCAAAAACTAAAATACATAAATGAAGATTTTTCCTTGTGGGTCATTAAATGACTTCTTCAGTTCTTGCAAACACTTGACATCATCTCCCTTAAAAACTCAATTAGATCATAGTACAATTGTCTCCCGAATCATCCATTTACTCTAACCGCACTCTTTGTAATTGTATCTCTTTATATTTATACTCACGTACACACTTTGTGAAGGAATCACTACTTTTGCCTTTGTCACTTAAAAAGGCTTTCAGATCTTTAGTATGTATTTTCAATCTTTCTTACTTTGTGTATTTGTATTTGTATTGTTCTTAATCTTATTCTCTTTTTCTGAAAGTATATTCTCCCATTGTTGATTTGCTCAACTCTCCAAGCATCAAATCAAAGTAATTAATAAGTAGATTCATATTGGGAAGCCTCTTTTTTTTTTTTTTTTGGGTTAATTTTTCGATTTACTGAATGATTTTTACATTTTTTTTGGTAAGTTGGTTCAGGGCGGTGAAAGGGGATTTTGTGCCGATGTTTGTGGCAATGGGGATGATAGCAATGTCAGCGAGTTTTGGATTATACACAGCACTGCACCAACTAGCAGGGACTCCAAATGTATTTGTGAAGGGGTTTTGCTACAAGTACATCAGGGTGTACATAATGGTGTCCATAATAGACACCCGGCATCTTCTTATTGGATGGAGTACCAGTGGGGCCGACACTCCATCTAATAGGGGGTGCCGGGTGTCCATTATGGACACCCTTATGTACACCCCAATGTACAAGAAGAATAATCCTTTGTGAAGAAGTCGAATGAGACTATACCAGAGGTGGTAGAGTCGGAGTACGTGATGGACCGAAACTTTTGAGGCGGTTTTGAGAGGGAATTTGAGGTTTCTAACAAGGATTTTTTGGTCCATTTTGCAGAAGGCCAAGGATTTGCAAAGGAAGATGATTTGCCTAGATTTTTGGGAAAAAAGATGAAGTGGAATGTGATAGGGTAGGGGGTGGGGTGGGGTGGAAAATAAGATTTTAAAGATTTGAAATTACAGATAGCACATGTAAAAAATTTGAACTTAATTTGTAAAAAATAAAAAATTTGGGCACTGAAATTGCAATCATTTCTTTTTAATTTTTTTGTATTTTTTACTATTTTTAATGGCAAATCTAATGGATCTTGACGGTAGGGAGTTTTTCGCACGAAAAAATTGAAATGGGAGGATTTTCTGCTATTTTTAATATATTTTCCCATTACATAATTCTATCGCTATCTACTCCAAGATAAGATCAATTTCGAATATAGAAATTGACCTTTTTCATTTATCTTTTCTCTTTTTTTCTTCAATCGAAAGAGTGAAATTCTAAATCACAATAATTTTCATCATTTTACAAATTACAAAATTAAGGTATACAATAGATTGATGATAAACAAAGAAGAAATCATTTCCGTGGGCCCAACCCCATCTCCATCTGTCATCTTCAATCTATGCTTATAAACCCTACAATGGCCAAATTTAGGTCACAGCACTCAAAAAATAATAATTACAATGAAAAGAATGAAAATTACAAATATAAAAATACAAATATCAAGATCTAGGTGAAATTAGCACTACAAAAAATCTACCACAAATTCCATTGCTAATGATCATCATACACTAACGGAAAGTTTTTCAATGAGCATTCCATTATCAACGAAAATTTCACTAGCAAAAGCATGTACGATGCATTTAATTGGTAGGTAAAAGAGCGTTACAACATTTGAAAATCCTGTAGTGAACATTAGGCGGTTGAACATAGTACATTGTGAAAATAGGAGTCCAGTTCAAATATCCATGTCGTCCATAATTATCCAGTATTAAACATTTAATGAAAAATTAATTTGATTTTACATTTAGGTAGACGTGTTTAGATATTAACCAATAAATAAGTGAACTTTAATCAATCTCAAAAAGCTTTAGGTGTGTGTGCGCTTTAATAGGGTGAACGTGAAAACACACATTATGAGATATTTTGTACAAGTATTTTTCCATTTGTACAGAAACCACTCCACAGAAATGCACCGGAAAACTTGCAATGGGGTGGGCCCCACTTTATATTAAAAAAATAAGATATGTGCGGGGCCCCACATGGTGTGAGTATTCCGGTCCATTTCTGTTGGTGTGAGTATCCTGGCCCATTTCTGTTGGTTTTTCCATCTGTATGTGTAGCACCACTGTTTATATAATATCGAATAAGATAATAGAGAAATATTTTACAAGTTACTCTATACGTCCCAATTATATAGGTTGAATTTTATTTTTCTCTCGTCCCAAATATATAGGCATGTTTCATAATGTAGAATATTTTCTTGTGTTCCTTTACCAATATACCCTTATTAAATTTTTCTCACTTTTTTCCCAATTTCTTGAAATCATTTAAATACACACATTTCCCACTTCTTGAAAATAAGAAACAACTCTCATTTTTTCTTCTTTCAAATTCTTTATTAGTTCCAA